AGCGGGAGAGGAGGGAGGGGGGGAGCAGCTTTTCTCGCCCCGGAGGAGGCGGGCGGCGGGACCAGGCGTCCAGTCCTCCGGGGTGAGAAAATCCCTGTTCGTATCTGCGGATCCGACATAAGTCGGATCCGCGTAACTCGGGGACTGCCTGTATATGTTATAGAATACTAAACCAGTATAAGCCAGTATGAGAGCATTTGGGTTGATGCGATGGTATCTAGTGAAGGTTTTATGTTACACCATTTAGACTCTTTCATGCCTAGTCCACACTGACAAATTACTTCCGATACAAACAGCCATAGGCTGCCTGGTTTAATAGATCACATCAACAGGTTCACTCTTAGGCTATGTCTCAACTGCATTCCTCTGCCGAAAGAGGAATGTAAATGACCCCGATCGAAAATGCAAATGAAGTGCGGATTTACAAATCTTGTGCTTCATTTGCATAATCGCATGCGAGCGCTTTTTTGAAAAAAGGCTTTTCGAAAAAGAAACTGCAGTCAAGACGGGGTTCTTTCGGGAAAAAAAAACTATTTTTGAAAGAACCTATACTCCTCATTTTTTCAGAGTATGAGTTCTTTCAAAAAAAGGGATTTTTTTCATCTAGACTGTGGTTTCTTTTTGGAAAAACCCTTTTTTGAAAAAGCGCTTGCATGTAATTATGCAAATGAAGTGCGAGATTGTAAATCCGCGCTTGATTTGCATTTTTGATCTGGCTCATTTACATTCCTCTTTCAGAAGAGGAATGTGTTTAGACATGCCCTTAGGGTTAACCACAACCTCCTGACATACTGGTAAACTGCAACAGTCATTACCTACTCTGAGTACTGAGTCACATCTGAGTTCATGTTGGTTAAGATGTACCCTAACATGATACAAATTTTCAGCGTAGACAAGTTCTCAGGCTCTTCTCTGTATTTGGCTAACAAATATAGTTGGTTTAGACCAAAATATTTATAGGCGTTATAAAGATTTACCTCATTTGTTTCTCTGTAAGCCAATACCGCTACTTACAATGGTTGTGAGTAGTGATGTTAAATTCTTGGGAATAAATTTTCAGCGAATATTCAAGAATGTTCTCGAGAATATTCTCCAATGTGAGAATTTTTGAGAATTTTCTCTTAAATACTTGTTAAATAGTTTTTAAAGAATTTTACTATTTATAATAATGTCTTTCTTTAATAAAACTTCAAGAATCCTGAAAAAGTTTCCAATATGCCACCAACAACGGCAGCAACTGAGAGAAGTTTCAGTACTTACAGTATCATTCATAATGTAAAAAGAAACAAGTTAACACAAGAAAGGGCAGGCAAGCTGACATTCATAGCCCATAATATAAAGCTTCTTAAAAACCCAAATGATGCTCCATTGTAATCCCCAAGGGTATGTCTACACTGCATCCCTAGTTCGAACTAGGGATGCAGTGTAGACATACCCTTGGGGATTACAATGGAGCATCATTTGGGTTTTTAAGAAGCTTTATATTATGGGCTATGAATGTCAGCTTGCCTGCCCTTTCTTGTGTTAACTTGTTTCTTTTTACATTATGAATGATACTGTAAGTACTGAAACTTCTCTCAGTTGCTGCCGTTGTTGGTGGCATATTCAATATGTTGATCGCTGCATTTCCTAATTTTGATCCATAGCATTTGATCCATAGCAAATATCTTTCCACCATGTTACTACATCTACTGAGCCAGCTGATTTTGTCACATATGATTTTCCAAAAAAACCTTCTTTAGCATGATACTCTGCAAGCTCTGCAATGACTTTTGCTGAGTGATCAGTGCCATACATTCTTGTGACTAATTTATCAATGAATTCAGTTCCTTGTATTTGTTCATTCTAGTAAGGCACTCACCATTATCTAGAATATTTGCAGCATAGTGAATGTCTTTTAGACATATCTTTTCTTTTTTCAAAACTTTTCATCACATCCTGTTTTTCTTGTTTGGTAAGTGGACTTTCAGGAAGTAGCCTATCAAAATGATTGCTTAATTCCCTGAAACATTCAGGAACTTTGCTCATTTTTGGCTGGTCAGATTCAAGCAGCATAATCCATTTAACAACAGGATTTATCAGTGCATGCTGTTTTTGGACCCGTACCCAAAATACATCTTCATCCAGGACTGAATTCCTGGTACGTTTGCTCAGTTTAGTCTGTAAATCTTCATGGACAGCAAGGCATTTTAAGACATTTTTCTATTTCAATAAGCTTTTCAAACAATATAAAAGGGAACTCCACCTAGTTTTAACTGGCAATTTAAGTGCACAAGTTTGATTTTTCTTTTTGAAATGCAGTAAAATGAGCTCGTAAAACTTGCGATTTGTTAATTTCCTTCACAATAGTTTTACAGGTTGCTTCAGTTTCTTGGACAGATTTTAAGTTACTGATGTCACCAAATAACAAATTTAGTGTATGAGCAGCACAAGTGTACATAGCAATGTGATTGTATTTTTCGTTATGCATTGATAAGGATTTCACCATTGCTGCAGCATTATCAGTTACAATGGCACCAAATTTTTCAGGGCCTATTTCTGTCATTATTTCTTCCATACGGAATGCCATATACTCAGCAGTATGGCGTTCAACATCGTTTGCCACTGTCTTGTAAAACACTGGTTGGGGTGTTGACATAATAAAATTTATAACCGATTCATTTCTTCGGTTGCTTCAAGCATCACACTGTAGTGCAAGAGAAGAGGCTTCAGAAATTTTTGTTTTTATAAGAGCATCAACACGTTGATATTCATCTTCTAAAAGTTTGTTAGAAAGTGTGTACCTGGACGGCGTCTTGTAAGATGGTCTTATTTTTTCATGAAAGTAATCCAATCTTCGGTTTCAACCAGTGAAAGAGGCGACCCCGATGAGAATATAGCTCATGCAAAAAATTAATCCAAAACTTTGTTTTCAGTTTCATTCATAGAATCGAAGTAGCGACTTACAGAGTGACATACCTTGGCTGAACTAGATGTGGAAGGTTATCACAGTGTTCTATAGATGTTGATGCAGTTGATGGTTGAGGTGATCTGCTTCTGGACTCTGAGAATTCTGTTGCCTTTTCCTTGATGTAAGCAGGAGTCTTCAAACAACTGGAAATATGCTCTCATCCTTGTTGCATTTCTGATGTATTCAGCCTTGCAGTACTTACATTCATATAACACTTTGTCTTTAACTGTTTTATGAAGGAAATAATCCCACACATCACTTTTAGGCTTAGTTTTTCTCTTCTGAGAATATTCTCCAAAAGCTTATTTCCCGAGAATTTTTTAGAATTTTCTAATTTTTCATTTCCCTTTGAAATAATATATTGTATTCAACTTTTAGAACACCTTGAATGTTAAAGAGCTTTCTTGATCATTCAAGATAGTTTGAGAATGTTATAGAACGTTCCAGAATGTTACGGAACTTTCTAGAACATTCGTGAGTCA